CCCCATCTTTGTCCCCTAACCACCTAATTAAACAACATAATAAAACGAAGGACCATTGACCACTTAACCACCCTATATTCTCCCATAATAACCACCCTATACACACCTTAATATCCCCTCTGACCGAAAGTAATCTCCCCAAATGATCAGCCACAACACACCAAATAACCCAACCATTCTCACTACCCATTGTTCCCAAACCTGGCCAAATGAAGTCCCTCCCCAACCACTAAATATTCACATCAATATAGAGCCAAATCAAGTCCCAAATCAGTCACCGTTTGCCCCCTAATATGGCCAAACCAGCCCAGCCTAGAAACACAGCCCACATCCCTTAATATTTCCCCATCAAAAACCACAAACTAATGTCACCCAACACCCCCACAAAATCCCTGATTCATCCCCCATGAAAGGACTCCATATTTGATTATTATTGTCAAAGATTTGTTAAGGAAAGAACTTGGTAGTTTCCCCTTTCTTGCTTGCTTATTTATATCGGCCATTGGCCATTGTTGTAACTCACTTTTGAATCTGAAATTTCCATCAGTAATACACTTATGTGTTTGCTATTTTAAACCCCTAATTCTATATCTTAAGGGTGGTTACCTTAAGTGTGAGTTTTAGGTTCTAGTTATTTAAATAAGTGTGTTATATCTTATTTGAATACTAGATTCAACCCCAAGTTAGGAGAAGAGTGTGTAATATCTCTTAACACCAACTTGGTTTATCCAACACTTATTTCTAGCCATTTCTAATCCCACCATTTCTCTCCTGATCATCCTTTCTTTTCTCATATTAAAAACCATTACAAAGAACTCTTTCACACTCCATTCATTTCGCCTCTTGCTTGCCTTCAACATATTATCACATTTCCTCTCCAAAAAAACCACAACTCTGTTAAGACCCCTAGTTCGAGATATATCATAAACAAAATGAGTTTTGAAAACTTTTGAATTTGATTTATTGAGTTTGAACAATTTCTTGTATTCCCCTAACATTCACTTCCGAATTTCTTCTCTATTATCCTTCGTATTTTCTTTCCCTAAAGAAGATAAAGACTTCTTTGCACCATGTTTATCAATAGGTTCCCATTAGAACAAGTTCAGCACCACCGAACGTGGATGAGCAGAATCGCAATCAGGTCAGTAGCTCTTCCTTTCTCGTCAATGTGTGATAGTGGATGATATATTTATTCTGGTTCTATGGCAAATTTCTGATTACTGCTGATCATCACCATTCATATAGTCTTTCATTTTTTGGTGTTAGTATCGCAGTTAAACTGTAGATGGTAGCTTGGCTCTCAGGCTTTCCATTTTAACTCCGTTCCCTTCGATAATTCATTCTTGCAGGTTTTTCTTGACTCTGTGAAAGTCATGCCTGCATTGCCAAATCCATCCGCATCTAGTCACCCACCTGAGAAGAACGCAGAAAAGGTCGAACAGTCTAATAACACTGAGGGCTTGGGTTCAGGTTCAGTTCAATCCAGGTCCAAGAGAGATGTGCCTGTTTCTTCTCCACCGACGCAAATGCACAAACCTTATCCTCATCCTATGACTGAAATTCCTAGGCCCATTCAATTCCACACTGCTCAGCCACAGGTTCCTGTTCAATATGGGGGCCATGCCCAAAGTCAGCCCCATACCTTGTCTGCCTCATCTTTGCCCATTCAAATGACGGTTCCTCTGCTTGTAAATCCATCTTTACAGCAGCCAATGTTTGTCACTGGTCTTCCATCCCATCATCCCATGCAACCTCAAGGAATCTGGCAACATGGACAAGGTTTAGGTTTTTCTACTTCTGGAATAAATCCGCACATGCCCCCACAGTTGGGAAACATGGGAATGGCTATTCCTTCACAGTTTCCTCAACATCAGACTGCAATGTATGGAAGTCTTCGTAAAACTGTAAAGATAATTGACCCAAAAACTCATGAAGAGTTAAGGCTTGATGGATCACATCCCAGTATACCACTCCAATCACAGCCACTACCATTCCAACCAGCCTCTATTCACTATTATCCTAATTCGTATAATAATGGTTCGGTAATTTTTCAAGCTCCAAACAATTCACAGATTTCTCAGGGAACAAGGCCTCATAATCAGGTTAGTACTTCAGTCTTTAATTGTATGCTTATTTAAGAAGGCATTGCTGGAGAAAAGATAAAATGAAATTTTCAGATGTCAACAACTTCTTGAATTCAAGTGCAGGTTACAATAAAACCGGGACCTGGCACCGTAGCGGAAAAGGACCAGGTGCCAGTAAAACAATCTATTAGGGGAAGAGATGAGTTACCCTTGACAAGTATATCCGCAGGAAAAGATTTTCAGAAACATTCAGAGTCACATGAAGGTGGGGGCAGTGCTGAGGAGTCAGTCCTTGATGTCATCAAAGAGCAGCAGAAAAAACAAGATAATAAAGGACCTCTGGCTGTGCAGGATCAGGTATTTTACTACTCTTTTCATCCCTCGCAAAGGTTCCACATTGGAACTGGCTCAGTCATTGTGAGAGTTGAAATTATGTGGTTGAGATTTTTGCATAGAGATAAATAATACAGAGTATGAACCATATAATTCTTCTTTTAAAATGAAAGTGGAACCTTATTTTGGGATACATGAAAATGGAAATAAGGAACCCTTTGCACTTTGCAGGGACAAATCAAGTCATGTATTTTTACTAATTTGTTAGATAGTATTCCGAAGTAATATGTTTGTTGTGTTGGCTCCAAGTGATCTTGATGCATAATCATAACATAATTGTACTGGTAGTTCAGGTTATACATGATTAAGTCCAAGTACCTGCTAGGGAGTTTGATTCAGCAAAAACGAATCCTAGTTTTAAATTTTAATTAGATAACATTACATTGTAAACAGAGAAAAGGTCTAAATACTATTTACAATAAATTACAATAAAAGTATAAAGATGCAAAAATACTTGAGCGAGATGCTTGGTTTCACACTATTTAAGCACAACCAAAACTTCTTGCTGACCGAAGTTTTTTTCTGTAGGTGGCAGAACTGCCTACTTCTGTTTCTGTTTCAGCTTCTCATTCTGTTGATGATGTTAAGATAAGGGATTGTACTCTTAATGATATTGATTCTAAAGCTAATGATGTTGAAAAAGAGAGCTCTTCTGAATCTCATGATATCAAGAGTGAAGATGACATAAGTACAGTGGCTGAAACATTTAATCAATATGACAAAGACGGAAAGTTGTGTAATGCCAGTATACACAGCACAAACATTTCCAAGACTTATCCAGCATTCACTTGTTCAGAATCTTCAGAGTTAACTAATCAAACTGACGAGAGCTGTCTAGCGCAGGCTGCTAGTTCCAGCAAAACAGACGACAATCATGTAGAAACTGCTCAAGAAAAGGCCAATGAATGTGCTACATGTTCCAGTGAGGCTGATAGTTCTTTGTCTTCCAGTTTAAATGCCAATTCCAATGGAGCATTCTTGTCCATAGGTTTATCTACTCAAGATCAGCATTTAGTAACATATAGATCTGAGGCTTCTTCTAAACCTATAGATGGAAACTCTGGCAATAACCATAAGGTTATGGATGAGAAGAAAGAAGACATCAGACATGTTGACAGTGTTGAGGGGGAAAATAATGAGGGTTTGAATCCCTGCAGTGCAGAAGTGGTGCAAGATGTTGTGTTAATCAAAGATGATGCTCATGTTAAAGCAGAGTCTGATGATAGGGAGGATGCTGCCCGTGCTTCTAGGCGAAACCAGGGAACTTTCAAAAAGGAAAATCAGGCCGTTTTGGAATTCAAGAAGCATGCTGAAGATGGTGATGAAATGAGAGCAAAAAAGTATTCAAGAGATTTTTTACTTAAATTTGCAGACAAATGTAAAAACCTCCCTGAAGCTTTTGAGATTGCTGCTGATTTTTCCGAGGCATTAATGGTTTCTGATTTGGGAGCTTCTGTTGAACAGTACCATAGTCCTGGCAGGAATATTGATAACAGACGGCCTGGAGGGTTTAGGATAGAACATCACACCAGTGGCATGGGACGCGAAGATAAGAGGAGTAAACTACCCGGACCTCTTATGACTGGACGGGACACGCAAGGAGGGAATTTTGGGGGTCATAGAAGCAACTTTGCACCAACACCTCTTCATTATGGCGGGGGTTCCTACTTAGGGCCTGTTGGTGCTCAGGGAGGTGGTATGCGACGAAATGGTGTTGATTCTGGCAGATGGATACAAGGGACTGCTTTCCATAAGGGTCTTATGCACTCTCCTCACACTCCATCACAAGTGATGCATAAAGCTGAAAAGAAGTATGAAGTTGGTAAGGTAACAGATGAGGAGCAGGCGAAGCAAAGGCGATTGAAAGCAATTCTCAACAAGCTTACTCCTCAGAACTTTGAAAAGTTATTCCAGCAAGTCAAAGATGTCAATATTGACAATGTGACTACACTTAGTGGTGTCATTTCACAAATTTTTGATAAAGCTTTAATGGAGCCCACTTTCTGCCAGATGTATGCCAACTTCTGTTTTCACCTTGCTGCTGAGCTTCCTGAATTAACCATAGACAGTGAAACAGTCACTTTCAAGAGATTGCTTCTGAACAAGTGTCAGGAAGAATTTGAGAGGGGTAAGCGAGAAGAAGCAGAGGCTAATTTAATTGACAGGGAAGGTGAGACAAAACTATCAGATGAGGAAAGAGAGGAGAAAAGATTAAAAGCACGAAGAAGAATGCTGGGCAACATCAGACTGATTGGGGAGTTGTACAAGAAGAAAATGTTGACAGAGAGGATAATGCATGAGTGCATACAAATTTTGCTTGGTGAGAGTGAGGGTCAGAACCTGGATGAGGAAAATATCGAAGCTTTGTGTAAACTAATGAGCACGATAGGTGAGGTGATAGATCACGCAAAAGCCAAGGTTCACATGGATGCTTATTTTGCCGGGATGTCAAACTTGTCAAACAACATGAAACTATCTTCCCGGTTGAGGTTTATGTTGAAAGATGCAATTGATCTTAGGAAGAATAAGTGGCAACAAAGGAGAAAAGTGGATGGACCAAAAAAGATTGAAGAAGTGCACAGAGATGCAGCTCAAGAGAGGCTAACCCAAACTAGCAGGACTTCTTTTGGTAGAAGAAGCCAACAACTAGAGTATTCACCTAGAGGTCCTAGCGTATTGCCTTCTCCAAGCTCCCAGATTGGTGGTTTCAGACCAATATCACCAATGAGAAGGGATTATGGCAGCCAAGATGCTCGTATGGATGATAAATATACTTCCCAAAATAGGCCACTATCACTTCCTCTAACCCAGAAAGGAATTGGAGATCATATTACACTTGGGCCTCAAGGTGGCCTTGCGAAGGGGTTGACCTTTAGGGCAACTGTTTCAAAAATATCTTCTGCGAGTATACAGAGTGCCGGAAACTCCAATAGAGTTGCATCTAGTGTCGATGAATTTGGTCCTACGCTTGATCGAATACCACGAGACTCTAGGGAGGATGCCTTGCAGAGTGATGTGCCAGAAAGGCTTTCCCGTCGTTATGATCAAACTGGTAAACAGGATCAGATTATGCTTAATGGAAATAGAGATCAAAGCCTTGATACTTCTCTTCCCACGTCGCATACAGTCCAAAATGTTGTTCAAGATAAAGCTGTGCCAGAAGAACGCTTGCAAGAGCTATCAATGTCTGCAATTAAGGAATTCTACAGGTATTTTTCAGTGATCATGTGCTGTCCAAACATTTTTTATGGAGCATTTCTAANNACCCCCCCCCCCCCCCCCAAATAATTCACATTCAGAAAATCAACATGAAACTGCCTAGCCTTCCATAACTAATATCTACTCTCTCCGCCATAAAATTTAAGAACGTTGTTGAAAAGTTAAAAGTGTGGTTAGAATTTATTTAGAGGGGGGAGAATTGTTGGTAGCCACATATTCATTACCAAAATATGGAATGAAGTATGTGAAGTTTTTGACAGTACGTCCAAGAAAAGGAAGTATAAGAATTGAATGGGGTGGAGGGAGTATATCTTATTCCTTAGCTCCAAATTGTGTTTGGCCTTGTTAGTTTTGGGGGACAATAATTTTATCATTACACCGGGGATTATAGATGTCAAAATGGAGTTTAATATATTCTCTTGAAATACAAGCCCTAATAATAATATTACTAGGTCTAGGAAGAAATTGAGCTGGGTGGCAGCTATACTCATCTGGAATTTATATCTGAGAAAGTGATGGATGGAACTAAGCCAAGAGATCATGCACTACTCTCTCTGTCCCACAAAAGTTTTCCCACTTCTTGTCTCATTTTCCTTTTTCCCACTTTTTCTTTCCTATTTCATGTGTCCATAGTTTTTTCATATGTCCCTATATAGTTTTCCCACTTTTTCTTTCCTTTTTAAAAAATAATTTGGTCCAACATACTTCTTTGTTCTAAACAAATTCTAACCACTCATTTTTTTAGTTTTCAACACTTTTCTTAATCTCCATGAAATCAAAGAGAACTAATTTGCGATGGAGGGGATTTAGTGATACTATTTTTGTTTCAAACTCCATTTTTCTAGCTTTAGGAGAAATTTTGTCTAGACATCCTAATCAAGCTCAAGTTGCTGAATTATTGGAGAAAATATATACTGCCTCCATTCTGAAATGATCTTCCCATAATATCATCTTGACTTTACACTATTATTAGGAAAGTGAAATTGTTCTGTTGCGGTTGGTTTAAAAGTGAAAGGCCTTAATAAGCATACACATTTTAGTACTTTCTTGAGAGAGCTTTGTGCGTGCGCACAATCTAGTGAAATATCATTATTACCCTTGAGTGTTTTTTAACTGACATGAACCTTAAATCTGATGGACAACAGTGCCAGAGATGAGAAGGAGATTGCTTTATGCGTGAAGGATTTGAAGACACCAAGCTTCCACCCTTCAATGGTTTCTATTTGGATCACTGATTCCTTTGAGAGGAAGGACATGGAAAGAGACCTATTAGAGAAACTTCTGGTCAATCTAACAAAGTCTCATGATGTTATCCTAACCCCAGACCAGCTGGTTCATGGGTACGCCCTTGTTCTTAACAAAGAAAGTTTTCCACAGGATTTTATTGCTTTACTGAACGCTGCTGCCATATTGGACAGGTTTGAATGTGTTCTTGCGACATTGGAGGACGCAGTGAATGATGCCCCAAGAGCAGCAGAGTATCTGGGCCGCATCTTTGCCAGATCGGTGCTGGAGAGCGTTGTCCCCATGGACCGGATCGGGAGGCTCCTATTGCAAGGAGGGGAAGAGGAAGGGCGCCTGGTCGAAACTGGACTTGCCGCCGATGTTCTTGGGACCACCTTGGAGACCATAAGATCCGACAAGGGCGATTCTTCGCTGGACGAATTGCTCAGAACCTCGAACCTCCTGCTACACGACTTTTGTCCCCCAGGTTCGAAAAATAAATCCAAATTGGACAAATTTATCATTCCATAGGGCCACTATAGTATAGAGCTTAGAGTATTCATATTTTGCTTTCAAGGAAAATAATAATATTAATAATAATAATAATAGTAGTAGTAATAATAATAATAGTTCTGAAAGGTGTTTGCTGCAATAGATAGATATATACCACTTGGATGACAAATATTGTTATTATTTATATATGGTGTATTATCTAACGAGCTTGATCATGGTGTGCTGTGACATGCCTAAATGTACGTACATCATCGGCTTCCTGGCCACGTGATAAGCAAAGATCTGATCTGAGTTTCTTTTGTATATGCAAAATCTGTATGTAGTGCATTATTATTCATTACTCTTCCTAAAAATTCTTCGTGTTTTGACTTTTTTTGGTCAAATAATGGCACTCTTTGATCACAAATTAAAAATAATCTAAATTACTAAATGCTATAAGAATTTGATATGTCAAGATTATATCCTAAGATGAACCTAATTATATTAAATTTATTTTATAATTCAATATATTTTTCTCATGATCAGTAATCAAAGTGTGTCATTGTTTGACCAAAAATAATTAAAACAGGAAGAATTTTCAGGAACGGATGGAGTGGAAACTGAAAATTAAGATGTTCATGCACAAAAATGTCTATAACTATAGTCATTTAAGCTTTGTTTGGTGCATGAAATTTATATTGTGGAATTAGAATTGAAGACAATAATTCTAATTTTGTTGTTTAGTAGCACAATAATAAGTGGATTTGGAATTAGTAGTGTCAAAAATAAATTAAAATTGGAAAAATTCAATTCCATTTAAAAGAATTCTGTGGAATTTCAGTTTCTAATTCAATTCTAATTTTGTTAATTCCGTGTATCAAACGGATCCTTAGTTTTTCTCATTTTTTAAAAAAAATCAGACATTGAATATCACATTTTTAAAATAATTCACAATTACACATTTCGTTTTACGAAATGCCAGATTAAATATCAGAAGTAAACAGTCGAAATCAGAAGTACATCGAGTTTGGTAAAGAAAAAAAATAAGAGGACTTCAATTTCTACTAGCTTGTCTGCTTGTTTGGTTGAAAAGTACTTCCTCTGTCCCATTTTATAACGTCTGTTTTAGTTTACGATGTTTGACTAAAATTATATTTAAATCCTTTTATATGACAAATGATATATAGTTAAAAAATAAAAATTACATATTAAAATACTACATCAAAAGATCTACAAAACTAATAGTGATAATAGTATTTTATTTTATCAAATTGCTAACGAAAATAAAAAAAGAAAGTAAATGAAATTTGATCTTGTGAATAATGAACAAACATTATAATTTGAGACGGATGTAGTTGAACAGAAAAAATTAATTTCTCATTGTTTGGTTGGAAAGAATTAATGGGATGAAAGAGGCAGCATTTTTGTAACGATAATTTCTTATAAACTTTGTTTGTAGACATAATAAATGAAATATACAAATCCTCATTTTATTATTGAAAATTGTGTGTGTATTTTTTGTATAAAGTTTTTTATTATTATTATAATTAAAAATAATAAATAATGTATCTATCATTAAAAGTGTATAAATATAATTTAAATTTTTTAAAATAAGTAAATTTTATAAAAAGAATTGATATATGAGAACTACAACATAAAATTAATCTAATTATATTAAATTTACTTATAATCAAAGACAAAAGTATATATTTTTTACTATATATATATATATATACACACACACACATACATACATACACACACACACACGCACGCACACACGCGCGCGCGCACACACACACACATATATATACTTTTCTAAAATATACATGACCATGTTTAATAATGTAAATGCATTTTAAGTCTTATTTCGAGAGTAAAAATATGGAAGTTCTATTTTGGTATATTTTTAATATTTTAGTCTCACTTTAGTCTTTCTTACTTTACATTTTTATCATTATTTTTCAAAAAAAAACTAAAATCTACAAAATCAAATTGTAATGTTATTTTAAAGAACAATTGAGTGAACTTCTCCTTGAGTTTGAGTGAAAGCTCATTGTTTAGAATTTATGGGAAAGTTTACCTATATTTGAGTCTCATCGAAGGTTGAAATATTGGTCATTTGTGCGTTATTAAGTTAAAAAAATATAAATAAATATCATTACATTTTAATCGAGTTAATAGGACTACAGAAATGAGTACTCCCTCCGTCCCAAATTATAATGCCTGTTCACTATTCACAGGGTCAAACTTCATTCACTTTCTTTCTCTATTTTCGTTAGCATTTTGGTAAAATAAAATATTGTTGTCACTACTAGTTTTGTAGATCTTTTGATGTAGTATTTTAATATGTAATTTTTATTTTTTAACTCTATACCATTTGTCATATAAAATGATTTGAAAATAACTTCAGTCAAACATCGTAAACCGAAACAGCGTTATAAAATGGGACGGAGGGAGTATAAATTATTTCCCAATTTTGTCTCGATGAGATTAAGGCTCTGTTTAGTAATAGCGTTTTCAATTAGCGTTAGCGTTTTGGATAAAATTTTAATGGTGCAGATTAATTCTGAAAACGATAACGCAACTCTAACGCTAATCTGTAACGCTGATGCCAAACAGGAACTAACTTTTTTTTATAAAAATAAAAAAAATCATCAATGTGGCAGATTTGGCATTTTGTAAATTTTTCTACTCACAGATCAGAGCTTGAATGAGAGATCCTTTGACGCGCTGATTCATAGAGTACAAATACCTATAGAGCACGCTCTATCTCTCTCTTTCTCTACCTTCTTCCGGAGTCCCCGATCATTTCCCGGCGTTATATAAATTCATTTGCCGGAAAATCCCGATCCGATTGAAGGTTCTCATAATCTCGAAGGTTAGCGTGTAGATCGGACCGATGGCTCCTGTTTCGGCTCTCGCCAAGTACAAGCTCGTGTTCTTAGGAGATCAATCCGTGGGAAAAACCAGTATCATAACTCGCTTCATGTACGATAAGTTCGACAACACATATCAGGTATTGCATATTCTCAATTATGGACATTTTCCTGATCTGCTTGTTTGTGGCTTCGATTTATCTATTCTGATTTGGTAGTCTGATATAGATTCAATGTTGTTCTTCAAGTGTTTCACGTCAGCATTTTTTGTTTTTATTAGAAAATTATTCGTTTAGATCGGCTCATAATTAAGTTTGCGCTTGATTTGTTTGGTGCATTTTACATTTTTAGGCGATTTGAACCGTTTAGTTCAAGTTGGATTATCATTTTTCTCGATCTCATCTTCCAGAAATTTACCTTGTCGTACTGCGGTCTTTTTCTTACACCAGCATATTCTCTTCGAGTGGGTATGGATTTAATATTAGCAGCTATGCATGCAGCAATGCGGGACTCTTAAATAGTTAAACAAATAGCTCATTTAGAATTACAAGTAGATGTAATATACAAAAAAATGGCATTTGTATGTTAGGAGGGGGTTCGTCACCAATCACCATCGTTATTGACATTTCCTGAACATTCTTTATTAAAGGATAAGTGGAAACGTTGAATACCTTTTATGATTACCTAAACCTGTACTTGTTTCAGGCCACAATTGGAATAGATTTCCTGTCAAAGACAATGTACCTTGAAGATCGTACAGTGAGATTGCAGCTCTGGTGAGTTACTTGTCATTGATGTTAGGATATTGTGTCTATTTCATTTACAGTGAGATTTGAAGATCGTACAGTGAGATTTACATGCTGCATTGCACTCATTTTCCAAAGCGTCCAACTGCTTTGTCAATTGTTTAAATTCAGATTTATTTTCCACTTCTTATACCTCAAGGATATTGTAGACATGTAATTTTACCATGACAGTAGCTTGCCATTCAATTTGAATGAACACTATCTTTAATCTGTTGAGGATATTTTATTCCGTATTTTTCATTTTGTTCATTATGGAGTATTTGTTATCTTTTAGTTTGACTCCACTACATGGGTCCTTTTTGAGTTTGTTAATTTGAGCAATACTAAACTTCTGCACACATCAAATTTCTCCCATGAGCATGGCAAGCTACATCCTGAAGTTAGTTTTGTGGACGGTATATTATCTATTGAGAGGATGCTTTCATCATCACCAATTTATGATGCTCTCTACATGAATATTTACACTTCGGAAAGCATTCTACTACACACTACTTGATGGAACATTGGTGGGGATGAAATTAATGTGTAGCTATTGGATCTTTTGTTTGTATGACATTTTTTATTTACTTTTTATTGAAATTCGTGTTGTTGATCTTTCATTAAATAATTTGTCTCTTTCAAGTGCTTGATAAGGTGTATTATCTTTCTCACCTTATGGCTTATACAGGGATACAGCAGGGCAAGAGAGATTCAGGAGTCTTATACCTAGCTATATCAGGGACTCGTCTGTTGCTGTGATTGTTTATGATGTTGCAAGTATGTTTTCTTCTAATTTATGTTCTTCCCATGCTTTGAGGAGAGTTTGCTTTAAAAACAGTGATTTGGAAATTCATCACAGCAGTTACACTGTTACAGCATGTTTGGGTGGGTGGGTGGGGGGAGGGAATAAATAGACGGGGAATGTGATTTGATTGTCATGGGAAAGGAATATATTCGGAATAAGAAAATTTTCAATTCCATTGTTTGATTGTTGTAAATGATACTTCCTTTGTTCCAAAATAATCGCAATGGTTTGAGCTTTACACTATTCCCACTTTCATTTGAGTATTTGACAATCTATTATCAATATGTAAGTAAGATATACTCATATGGGATCTTGTTAGATCCATCTCGATCTGACTTTTAAATATCAATTTTTATATAATTTTACTAAAATGTAATTGAAGATATTAATGACCACTCTTGTGTCACAATACTGAACTTACACTCCATGTATTCTGTTTTCGTTTATTCTATGGTTGCTCTCCAAACTTCTTGTCTATCTTTAACCTTATTGTGTGACTCGTAAATCAAAACTATGTCATTAGCAAATACTCCCTCTGTGGCTCTGTCCCAAAATCTTTGCCACATTACGTCATTACGCAAAATGAAGCAAAAGTTCAAGTTTTTCAATTTATTTTGTTTAAAGATTGGTATAGAAATTAAAAAATAAAATTTTATATTTAAAAAACTACATCAAAAGTTCTACAAAACAAGAGGGTAAAAGAATATTTTATTTTATCAAATAATCGATGAAAACATACAAATAAACAAAAGTTCTTGTAAATTTTGAATTGTAAATTGTGGCATTCTTTTTGGGAGAGGTATGTTAGGAATCAGAGATCAGAGGCGGTCAAGCGGAAGCGAACAAACACACACACACAAATAGCAGAAAATAAGAACACGAGATTTAACGTGGTTCGGTCAGTAAACTACTCCACGGGTTGCAGCTAGGGTTTATCTTTTATTAGGTGCTCACAGATTATAGTTACATGATTGGGTATTTATAAGATATAAACTAGGGTTAACAACTTGCTAAACAAGAAACAACTAATGGGCCCTTTAATTAATAACTAAAACCGGCCCC